ATTTCATGAGCCAACAGTGCAGTGGGACCTGCGCAGGTGGCGGCTATCAGGCCCTTCCAGTTTTCCTGCTTGTTCAGTATCTCCTTCACCACAACAGACTCATAAATTCTGTGCACCCAGATGAACTTCTGGTAGAACCACCATGTCATCCATGCCTAGGGTCCCTCTTTTTTTGCATCTTCAAGACTGGCATCAGCGCAAATGACAACATCACAGCTACATTGTACTGGATCTTTTCCAGCCAGACTTGCAACGGTGACCTTAATCCCAGCTCACCTCATGACATCTATGGGATGATCATCTCCATTTCCTCTGTTCCTTTAGCCAGGATGACCAGAGCTCTTTTGGAAGCCATTTTTATGTTATATGTTTTAAAGGCTGCACCCTGCGCCTCTTCCTGCGGACGTGGTACCCCGGCCCACTGGGGACCACTCACCCTACACCAGGCAGAAGGTGGACGTCAGTATTCTACCCTTCTTAGCTGTGCAGTGTGAAGTGTTTAAAAAGTCAAAGTTCATGAGCTACTGTTCCAATCCTTAGTGTCTTCTGGGGTCATCAGCACTCATATCCTGACCGGTGTGGTGGCTCACACCTATAATTCCAGCACTTTGGGAGGCCAAGGCGGGAGGATTGCTTGAGCCCAGGAGTTCAAGACCAGCCTGGACAACACAGTGAGACCCCATCTCTAACAAAAAATCAAAACTACAGCAACAAAACCCCTCATAGTCCTTGGAGCAACCCAGAGATTCTGCTGGTCCTTTTATAAACATCTTTGAAAAGAAATGTTAGCAAGTCATAGTCACTGCTGTGAGACTGTCTCCAGACCAATTCCAGATATATTTTATGGGGTGGAAGTTGAATTAAGACAATTCCTGGGCCAGGCACAGTGGCTCTTGCCTATAATCCCAGCACTTTGGGAGGCTGAGGTGGGTGGATCACGAGGTCAGGAGTTCAACACAAGCCTGGCTAACGCAGTGAACCCCGTCTCTACTAAAAATACAAAAAATTAGCCGGGTATGGTGGCACGTGCCTGTAGTTCCAGCTACTCGGGAGGTTGAGGCAGGAGATTTGCTTGAACGTGGGAGGCGGAGGTTGCAGTGAGCTGAGATTGCACCACTGAACGCCAGCCTGTGTGACAAAGCAAGACTCTGTTTCAAAAAAAAAAAAAAAAGACAATTCCTGGCCAGGTGTGGTGGATCACACCTATAATCCCAGCACTTTGGGAGGCTGAGGCAATAGGATTGCCTGAGCTCAGGAGTTCGAAACCAGCCTGGGCAACATGGCAAAACCCTGTCTCTACTAAAAATACAAAAAATTAGCCAGGCGTGATAGTGCACACCTGTAGTCCCAGCTCCTTGGAAGGCTGAGGGACAAGAATTGCTTGAGCCCAGGAGGCAGAGGTTGCAGTGAGCCGAGATCATGCCACTGCACTCCAGCCTGGGCGATAGAGTAAGACTGTGTCTAAAAAAAAGGCAATTTCTACTTTCTAATAAATTCTCAAACACCTTGAAAACTTTCTTTAATGTCCTAAAACCAAAGTTAACTGAGGCTCAGTTTGGTTAAACAACTTGTTCAGTGATTGACAAGCTGTTAAATGACGAGACCAGAATTCAAAAGATCTGTCCTATTCCAAAGTTTGTATTCTCTCATCCACATCACCCTGCAAGGTCAAAGTCCCCATGCAAAGTAACAAGGCTTAATAACTGGGCATCTCAAATCACAGATGTGAAAAATTCCCAGAATATTGACTGTCATAAAGAAGGCTCTGTGAGAATACGCAGTAATGGAAAATACATTCAGATTTGGCTGAAGGCAAAATATCTTCTTATCAATTCTATATTCACACATACTTTGGACTCCTTGTCTTTTTTATTTCTTTAATAGAGGAAGTGGAATATTCAGTCTGGAGAAGAGATGAAAACAAGGGACCCTTAATGGCTAGAGGGTACATAGGAAACAGTGTGCCCCACTAACCAATTTCCTACTCCTTTCCATTTTTCCTCCAGGAAAAGGAAGGCCAAGAGAATTGAAATCTTAACCAGCCGCATTCTGCCTCTTACTTTGAATGTCTAAGAGCTTGTGCTTGTAGATTCAGCTTTGTAGCTGAAAAACAAAGAAAAGAAAACTCAGTCTGGTTCAGGTAGTATATCCTAAAAGTTGAAGTTGGATGAAAATATTTTCACTTTTCAGTGAACTGTTATTATGGGATGAGGAGAAAGCCTCGGTCTGGAATATCAGAATTTTACATTTTCTTTGAAAAGAGGAAGCTACTCATTTCAGAGAATTATAGAGTCAACTCTAAGATTTGTCATAAATGCCGTTTTTTTGCTTTGAGTTTGCATAACAAGTTGATGGTTGTTGAAAGCAGCTGATGAGTGCATGAGGATTACAGTACTATTCTCTGCACTGTTGTGTGTGTTTATGTTTTCCTATTAGAGTTTAAAAATTACTCCTGTGCAAGGCCAGCCAAAACCTGTATAGAATAATTGCAAAAAGCCTTTCATTTTTTTCAAGTCTTGGCTTTGTTGATTTCCAAGAAATTGTATTATGTTCTAAACAGACATCTTAAGTCCCTTCTGGAACATGGTACAGCTTAAGAAAATAAAGCAACCAATTCAACCCAGTTCCTGCTCCTTTCCTGTGATGTGATTGATCTCAAAAACAAATACTATTGACATCCTCCATGTTTTTAAGGAAACACCCTTCTAATGGGAAATACATACTTCACAGTGTTATGTAAGGAGTAAGCGAAGCTTTTTGGTGGTCATAAAACTTATAACAATAACATTAATGGAAATCAAAATGATCAAGAACAGATATCCTAGTCTGGACAACATAGTGAAACCCCATCTCTACAAAAAATTTAAAATTAGTGGGGCATGGGGAGGCATGATTATAGTTCCAGCTACTAGGGAGGCTGAGGTGGGAGGATCGCTTGAGTCTGGGAAGTTGAGGCTGCAGTAAGCTGTGATGGTACCACTGCACTCCAGCCTGGGGAACAGACCAGAGACCCTGTCTCAAAAACAAACAAACAAACAAACAAACACAAAAACAGATCTCCATCTAAACATGTCAGTTTGCTTAAAGTTTCCCACATTTCCTCCTATACATCTTTGGGTATATCTGTATGTTTTTATATGGTTGGTGAGTCATGGCATGGACATCCTTCTCTAGTGAGATTTAAACTGCTTTTATTCAACACCTTGAGGCTCTTGTTAGTATAGGAATACTAGACCACATTTAGGTTTTTCTTAATATATGTTCATATTAACAAGTGGATAAATACTTAACCTGTCATTTTACCCCATTTAAAAAATTTAATTCTCAGAACAGCCTTACTAAGTAGCCATCATTATCATGACTACAAAGTGAAGAGTTTTAGGTTTAGGGTATACAAGGTCATGAAATGAACGGAGATAAAGCTAAAAGTCATCATTGGGATTGTCTCACTCCAAGGCCCATCATAGTTCCCCAAGATGAGTATTTCCCAAACATCAGTCATTTGCATACCACTTTCATGAAATCTGCCATACGTGATCAACACCATAAAGCTTTTGCTTATATCAACTTGTCTTTATTTTTACTGATGGTTGGAAATGAACAGAATCGGCATTTGCTGCAAATCTATACGTGTAGCCCCCAGATGAGAAACCTCAGTAAAACCCAGGAAATTGTTAGAAATACAGATTCTGGGACTGCTCCAGACCTGCTGAATCAGAAACTTCAGGGTAGGGCTCAAAAATCTGTGCTTTAACACGACCTGCAGAAGATTCTGAGGCCTGGTCAAGTCTAGGAACCCCTGTTCTATATGTACTAGCCTATTTAATACTCACAACTTCTCTAGGAGCTAAGCACAATTATTGCCATCATCACAGATGAGTAAACTAAGGCTCAGCATAAATTAACACCAGTGTCACCAGTTAGCAAATATGGGGAAGATGGACTTATACTATGTTTGTCTGTCTCCAAAGTCGTTTTCCCAATATCATATGGACTCAACCAAAGAAGGATGGAAGGAGATGTTTTTCTATTGTGTAAAGAGAAGTAGGATAGACATATGTATTTTCGAGAGACAATTTAGATGTTACATATATATTGACATAGGTATATGTACTATTACATTGTACTATGTACATTGACATATATATATTATGTACTATGTATACTGACACTGACATATATATATATATTATGTACTATGTATACTGACATATACATATATTGACATTTGTATATGTACTATGTACATTGACATATACCTATATTAATTATATATAGCTTTGATATACACCGAATATTTTATTGTTTTTAAGAGCCATTGAAATGCAATACTTTGTTTAAAACAAAGACAAGTGTCTAGGTGCGATGGTTCACACCTGTAATCTCAGCACTTGTGGGAGGCTGAGGGGAGAATCAATTGAGCTCCAGAGATGGCAACATATTGAGATCCCATCTCTACAATTTTTTTTTCTTTTGAGACAGAGTCTCACTCTGTCACCAGTCTGGAGTGCAGTGGTGCGATCTCAGCTCACTGCACCTCCGCCTCCCGGGTTCAAGCAATTCTCCTGCCTCAGCCTCTCAAGTAGCTGGGACTACAGGAGTGTGCTACCATGCCCGGCTAATTTTTTGTATTTTTAGTAGAGATGGGGGTTTCACTGTGTTGGCCAGGATGGTCTCGATCTCTTGACCTCGTGATCCGCCCGCCTTGGCCTCCCAAAGTGCTGGGATTACAGGAGTGAGCCACTTCGCCCAGCCTACAAAAAAATTTAAAAATGAGCCAGGTATAGTAGTGCATGCCTGTAGTCCTTGTTACTTGGCAGCCTGAGGCAGGAGGATCGCTTGAGCCCAGAAGGTTGAGGCTGCAGTGAGCTGAATTAGTGCCATTGCACTCCAGCCTGGGTGACAGAGGGAGCCCCCATCTCAAAGCAAAACAAAACGAAAACAAAAACAACTGCTGTTTCTAGAAAAAATTATCTTATACAATTGGTTAGGAATGACAGAAAGTTGAATGAGCTGGAAAAATGAACTTGCCAGTACCGAAGCAGTGGAAAGGATGTTAATAATTCTTTGCGCCAGAATTTAAGGAATGACAGAGAGTTGAATGAGCTGGAAAAATGATCTTGCCAGTATTGAAGCAGTGGAAAGGATGTTAATAATCCTTTGCGCCAGAATTAAATTCATGTTAACTTCAGCTTAGTGGATGTTTACCAGTCACGATTGTACTTATACCTAATTGAATTTTCACTTTAAATATACTTTACACTAATATGTACTTTAATCCAATTTTTCTTATTGTTCTAGATATTAGGAATTAAGAGGTAATTAAAAGTAGCATTTCCCAATTATTTCCTTTTTAGGGGTAGGGGACAGAAATTTTAGGATACAGATTCCCCAATGAAGGAAATGATCCTTCCCAAACAGTACAGTGGAGCCCGTGGCTGGAAACATCACAAATGATTCTATAAATGGCTATAGCCTCAGCATAGCTTATCGTGTAAATACTTTATAACCTGTCTAAGGTTTCTCTACCAGGAGCTCAGCATCCTATGACATAGACTCATCCGTCTAGGTACTCAAGAGCAGGGATACACTTTAAATTAAAATCTTCCCCTGTGATCCTACCTGAATTACTGACCTGAAAAGAACCTAGAGCGCTTTACTGAAGAGGTTAAATAAGCCAAATGGGCCCACATCACTAATACAATATTTTGAAAATCATGTTCAAATTCCTTATGCATACTTAATATTATCTGGCTATCTAAAAATATTATTTTAAAACTCTTGTTCAGTGGATATGAACCTATGGAAGTATCTGTTTTGTGGAATTTCTCCTTCAGCCAGAGTTTATCTCCATATTGAAAAGACAAATGCCAGTGTGGGTTTTCCTCCAGCCCCCAAAGATATTATTATAGACTCGAGTGTCCTGGTGACTGTTTGTTAAGACATGATTCTACCCTGTCATTCAATGTTTATAACTCTCAGTCACCAATTCAATCAGCATGAGTGAATGCATCCTTTGTGGCCCCAGAAACTGAATTCAAAGTCGATGCACAGAGAACACAATACATACTTTGAAAAAGACTGGGGCTGATCCAGCCACACCCAGATTTAAGGCCTTGGTAACCTTTCTGCAGAGAACACATGCCTTCTAAATAGCTCAGTGTTTACGGTTGTTGAGAGCTGGAGAGATGTTTTGAGTTTCTTTCTTAAACCTCGCCTATTGGTTTTTTCCCTAAGCCAGCAATTCAGGAGAAGTCTAGATCAAATTAAGTCAGAAGACGCTCAGTGCATGAATGTGAGTAGCCCGGTACTAGCAGGAGGAGTGGCACCAGCAGGAGGTGGGAGTGGGTGGCAGGGGTGGAGGAAACTCACACCAGGTGCAAGTGAGGCAGAAACTAGGTGGGGGCGTCCCCATGCACCGCCTGCCACAGCTTTCTCTTGGCATTAGAATCCGACTGCATCATGGACCCAGGTTGACTGTGTGGGAGCCAGATTTTCTAAGGAAGGGCTCTATCCCATTAACATTTTATCTGGAGTAAAATGGAGCTTGCTAATTCTCTCAGGACTCTCTCATATTTACTGATATCATTGGTTGGCCTGGCCATTGTGGACTTGTACCTACTGTTTCTCTAATCCTTACTACCAAGAATTATCCCTCATCCTAGGTACAGGGTACACTTTTGTTCCATGCATCTTCTCGGAATTCTCCGGCATATTCCTGCTCCTCCCCAGATCCTTCCATACCCATCCAGCACCCTGCATATTGTCAGATCAAGCAGGTGCATAGTGATTCATGCAGCATAGGAGTAGTCGTGGCGAACATAAAGGCAGATGTCACTTTTCTTACGCTTAAGGAGCTGAAATACTGAGGAGGTTCGGGAGAAGAGCTAGTCAGCTAATAGGTGACCACAATTCAATGCTGGCAGCAGTGGCGTTAGGTCAAGGAGAACCTAGAGTTGAAACACATCTGGGAGGGCAGTGATCAGACAAGACTTCCAGAGGAAATGACCTCCAAGGTGGGCCAGAAAGATGAAGAGTTAGACAGAGATGGTAGGAAGGGCATTCTTTATGAGAGGATGTCATAAAAAGCCCTTAAAAAATAGATGAAAATTGCTGATATGTGTGGGACCAAGTAGTTGTTGGTACATAAAGTATGAGGCATCAAATAAAAAGAAATGAGGGTAGAGACAGAGGGGGTGGGGGGCCAGGTCTTGGAAGTCATGTCACATGAAGAGCTTAAGCCTGGCCTTTTTTTTTTTTTTTTTGAGACAGATTCTCACTCTGTCACCCAGTCTGGAGTGCAGTGGTGTGGTGCAATCACACTCACTGCAGCCTTGACTTTTCAGCCTTGAGCAATCCTCCTTCCCCAGCCTCCTGAGTAGGTGGGACCATAGGCATGCACCACTACACCCAGCTATTTTTAAATTTTTTGTAGGGACGAGGATCTCAGTATGTTGGCCAGGCTGGACTCGAACTCCTGGCCACAAGCAGTCCTCCTGCCTCAGCCTCCTAAAGTACTGGAATTATGGGTGTGAGCCACCTTGTCTGGCCAAGCCTTAAAGGTCCCTTAAAATCAGGAGAAGCCAGGGCAGGCGTGGTGACTCACGCTTGTAATCCCAGCACTTTGGGAGGCCTAAGTGGGCAAATCACGAGGTCAGAAGTTCATGACCAGCCTGGCCAACTTGGTGAAACCCCATCTCTACTAAAAATACAAAAATTAGCCAGGTGTGGTGGCATCTGCTTGTAATCCCAGCTACTTGGGAGGGTGAGGCAGGAGAATTCCTTGAATGTGGGAAGTGGAGGTTGCAATGAGCTGAGATTGCGCCATTGCACTCCAGCCTGGAGGACAGAGCGAGACTCTGTCTCAAAAAAGAAAAAAAAGTAAGGAGAAGCTATCGTAAAGCCTGAGGGAACATCAGGTGTTCTACCAGTGAGAATTCTGCACATTCATTGCGGTTGGATGCTGTGGGGCAAATGTCCCTGATAACTTCATTCCAGAAACTTCCTCATATCTAGCTTTAAAAATGCTTCAACATAATGAAGAAAGAGCTCCTTAAATATCTACATTTGATCTATTTAAATAAAGAACACATCTTGCTGTATTTTGTTTCTCAGACAATATGGCACCTAAAATAAGGACCCTTTTTCCTTTTCTGAGTATAACTCTAGTGAACTCAAAGTCCATATGTAATGTCTCTACATGTTCAATTAGTTTTCTTGTCTATAAACATAATAAAGTACCTCTGGAAGGATGTACAAGGAAGTATTAACAATGGTAGCTGATAGAAGGAAAACTTTAAAAATTTGAGACCTTTAAAATATATTTCCTATTGCTTTTTAAATGCTAACTTTAAAAAGTTTTAATTTTTTATTTTTTTTGAGATGGAGTCTTGCTCCGTCACCTAGGCTGGAGTGCAATGGTTCGATCTCGGCTCACTGCAACTTCCACCTCTTGGGTTCAAGTGATTCTCCTGCCTCAGCCTCCCAAGTAGCTGGGACTACAGGCGCACATCACCATGTCCAGCTAATTTTTGTATTTTTCGTAGATACAGGGTTTCGCCATGTTGGCCAGGCTGGTCTGAAACTACTGACCTAAGGTGATCCACCCACCCCAGCCTCCCAAAGTGCTGGGATTATAGGTGTGAGCCACAGAGCCAGGCCAAAAAAAAAAAATTGACATATTCAGGAAAATTTTTTTTTGCAAGTGGTTGAGGTGAGGGAAAATTAGCCCAATACACTCTTAAGAAAAAGTCACTAACACTTAATACTCAACCATTCATAACTGCCTGATTCCTTCTCACTCCCCAGCTTCTCTGAGAACATCAACCAAGGGCCACTTCCCATTGCCACTGGCCCAGAACAAAGCCTGCTCCAGATGCACCCAGCACACAGCACAGAAGCCTGTGAGGGATAGTGGTCCCTTAGAGAAAGGATACCTGCTGACTCTCATGAGCACAGTGACCCTGACAAGCCTCACATACTTGCTGTGTACACACACACAGACACACACACACACACCATAAAACTACACCACACATACCCAACGCACTACAAACACACCATACACACACACCACACACACTACAAACACACACAAAACACACCCCACACACATACACACACCACACACACCAGACACATATACTACACACACACCACACACATACACACACCATATGCACACCACGCACATATACCACACATACCACACACACACCCACACACATGCACACACACCACATACATACTACAAAAACACCACACACACACACGCCACATCCCACACAAGCATATTGGGACACCACACACACACACACACACACACACACACACACACCACATACATCCCACACACACTCCTTATCCCTGCTAACCTCATCTCCAGCTCTAAGTCATCAGGTGAAACTTCCTTCCACGACCCTTCTCATTTTTTCCGAACACCTTCATCCTTTCCCTATTCTGAGATTCTGCAGGAAATTTGCTTTAGATATACAGGTAAAAAGAAATAGCCATTCTTTCTCTTCCTGGTGCAAGAGAAGTTTGTGTCGAAACTTCAGTCTACACAAATGCAGAGTCAGATACCGGCTTTGCCAAGAAAAGCTATGTGAACAATGTCAACATAATACTGCTTCAGTCTCTCTAAGCCTCATGTTCTTCATCTGTACATGAGGCTACCACATATCTGGCACCAACTATACCAACAAAAATAAGATTAAATGCCATGCATGCAATGTTTACATGTGTTTAAAATAGGTGACTGTAAATAAAGGTTTAACACTTGCACCACTAGGATAAACGTTGGTTCACTCCCCCTCCTACAAGTCTTTGTGACCTGAGAGTTCAGCAGCTCTGGAAATAAACTGCTCATGGGACACCATAATTTTCTTGTCTCCAGCCACCTTGCCCATCCTCTTTCTGTCCCTCTCTAAGTAGATTTTTGTGACCACCACTCTAGTTAGCTCTTAGGAATGCTGTGTTACTGGGGACCTTTCCGCATGAAGTCTACTTTCAGGTATCAGGTGGCTTCAAGCAGCACTCGAAAGTGTGTGAAGGATAAGGACACTAGACAGAAGAGCCAGGAGTTATTTCAAGAATGGCAGGCATAGGGCAACCCTCACACAGGACGGACACCCACAACCATGCTGGGTCGCTGTTGAAAACAAGCACGTGAAGACACACGGGAAAAATGTAACGCAGGTCACAGACCACCTATGGGAAACAGAGTTTAGAAAAGAAACCCAGTCCTGAACCAAAGAGGGAGCCTGATGCTATTTTCTGCCTCAGCTGCCTGGCATACCTTGGACGCCTTCCCAAATCATCATAAACAACCGAAGACTTCACAGTATATAAAAACAAGAGGCTGCACACTGGAATTTCCAATAAAAACCTATGACTTAAAAATTGAGAATTCTCGTTGGATCATCTTTAGCTAAATTCTCTGTGTGTGTGTTTCAACTCATTGTTACTAGCTCCCTCCAGGCTAAAATATCAGGCTAGATTTGTAAACTGAGAAGAGCTGAGACCTGGCTACTTGTTCCGATCTTAAACCAGAGATATTTCAGCCAGAATGATGACGTGTGAACATCCAAAGCAGCTTCCAAGATTCTAAAACCAGCACCCCTGTAACAGCTCCATGAACTTTGAGCAGTGGGACTACATCAAGGGGGAACGATGTCTAACGTTTGTCTGAGAGAAACACCAGCTATTTCAACTCATAAGTTCTAGAATGCTTATGTTAAAAGTCAATTTTGTTATGTTACAGCTGTGTTTGTCAAGGACTATGAAAAATATTAATTCAAAACACAGTTAAAATTCAGCAACTACATAATCAAAGTTAGTTTCGCTGGGACAATTGCAACCCAGTATTTCTTAGATGACTACATCACGCATACTTATAAGACAACAGAGTCAACAACACACTGTCGCTACAAGCAACCAAATTAATGGTTGTCTAAGTATTTAAATTTATTTCATAATAATTTCACATGAGTCAGTTCTCTAGGGAGAGCAGAATGTTAGCAAACTCAATCCGTCAATGAGAAGAAATGAGAATGGAAATTAGTACCTACCGGAAATCCTATTGAGTGTCACCCAGAAATGCTCATCAGGACTGTAGGTATCTTTTGACCATTGTAGTAGATCAATGGCCCTTTTGTCATGGAGAATGAAGTCGACAAACTCTCTAGTAAGCGCCACATAGGCAGTGCCAAAGTAGATAGTCAGATGATGTGGAGGTGAGGTTTTCAAAATACTAGTCTTTTTCACAAACAAGCCACCTTTACCTATATGCTCTTGGTGGACATATTTAGTTCGCTTAACTGCATGATCAGGGGGTAGCACCCCGGGGGTGATATTTTTCCCTTTAAATCCTTTCAGATGCTGAACTATCTCCCGGTTGGTTTTCAGGGGGAAGTCTTGTCCACAGGTGTTGATGACGTACTTCCAGGGAGCCTCAGAGGTGAAAAGATCTTTCAGACAGTTCAGGTCAGCCTGGAGCCTGGAAATTCCTGCATAAACCACAGACTCTGTCTTTGAAGCAATGAAAGCATTTTGGAAGCAACTCAGTAACTGCCTCACAGATTCCTTGAACTCAGCTGGGGCTTTCTCATCCACGTGAACACAGTAGACATTCTGGGGCATATAGATAGCCCTAAAGAGCCTTTCAAAGGTATCAAAGTCCTTATGGATGACCATGACATAGGCCAAAGGGAATGCAACCTCTTCTTCCGACAGGGGACTTGTGATGTAGTGATTCTGGGTCAGGTAATCCTTGCAAGGGATGTTTCGCAAAGGTGATGGTAATATGTTTTCCCACAAAAAGATGGGCTTTTCCTCTAACGCGTGATTACAGGCATTTTTCCTGAAATACCTTTCACTGGAACTGTTCAGCTTCTCGTAAGTTTTTGGCGGGCTCAAATGGCTATTGTAAAATCTCACAAAAATGACCACACTGAGCAGAGTACAAGCAAGAAAGCAGTACCTCCAAAAGTTCATTATCTTCACTTCCCTGGGGAAGGAATCTCTTCTTTTCAGGGAATGAGAAATGATCGGTGTGAGAGGTTGAATTTACTTCTCTTGCTAGTCTTGAATTTCGACAGCTTCTCCAGAGGGCTGGCTTGCTTTTCCCGAATGCTTTAATCCTCCTGTATCCTCCTCTACGGTGTCTCGTCCATCCTTTTTGTGGGATGTGCCTGGAGATGCGGTGCTTTCCTCTCGCACTTAGGTCTGCAGTTCCCCAGGGCTGAATCCCTGCTGTTTGCAGAGACTCAGCTCAGCCCAGCCCAGCTCAGCCCAGCCTCCGGGAAGCCTCTTCATTTACATATGAAATACAAGTGGTAGATCTTGGCAAATTACGTTCTGGAAAGGAATGACGGGTCCTTTTCACTCAAGCTGAGTTTCTCTTGCTTCCCCCTCACCGCCCTCCTTCCATCAATCTATTCTGATCTGATCTCCCTTCTCTTCTCACACTTTCTCCAAGCCTTCTAGAATCAGAGGCTCTATTTTTTCTGGCTAGCCCCACAACCTGCTGGCAGTCCTTGGAAGCCACAGCATTTAAGGATTCTGGCTCCTCTGGCTTATTTCTCTTCCTGTTCTCTGCCACCTCTTTTCATTTTAGTGTTATCTCTACCTCTGGGAACATACAGACATGGATAATAAAAAATGCATGTGTGCCAGGCATGGTGGCTCGCACGTGCAGTCCCAGCTACTCAGGAGGTCGAGGTGGAAGGATTGCTTGAGCCGAGGTGGTCAAGGCTATAGTGAGCTATGATCGCAGCACTGCACTCCAGCCTGTGCAACAGTGAGACCCTGACTCTTCAAAAAATTATTTAAAGGCTGGGAGCAGTGGCTCCCACCTGTAATCAATCTCAGCACTTTGGGAGGCTGAGGTGAGCAGATCATGAGATCAGGAGTTCAAGACCAGCCTGGCCAAGATGGTGGAACTCCAACTCTACTAAAAATACAAAAATTAGCCAGGCGTGGTGACACATGCCTGTAATCCCAGCTACTTGGGAGGCCGAGGCAAGAGAATCGCTTGAACTCAGGAGGCGGAGGTTGGGGTGAGCCGAGATCACGCCACTGCACTCCAGCCTGGGCAACAGAGCAAGACTATGTTTTTTAAAAAATATGATTTAAAAAGATACATTTGTAACATGTCTAAGTAGAAAATTATCAGTGACAGAAAAGTATTTGTGAGGTAGATTAACTTGGATTCTAATGATGTGTCAGAATATAGTACACACACACACACACGCACACACAGACACACACATGCACACACAGACACACACACACACACAGTGACTATGGGAAGAGGGAATCATGAATTGTATTCTTGGGAGCAGAGGCATGACATGAGGGCAGATGGAACCTAGGAGTGACATTTCATATGAAAGAGTTGGTGTTGCTATCATATAATGAAGCAAACACACCTAAGTTTGCATGCTGGAGAAAAATGTGATCGTTAGTGTTCCCAGGGAGCAAAAGCTGGTTCCCATTTCACAAAGAGAGCTTCAGATAATGGAGTTGTTGATACAGTATTATCTACAATAGGCGGAGTGACTAACCTACTGGCTCTCTTTAAAAGCCTGACAACCTCAGATCTGAGGTCGTTTCAAAGAACCTAAAGGATTCTCATTCTCCTTTCAACCCAACCCCCTCTCCAACTTCCTTTTCTGAAGAAAGACAAAAAGCATCAGGGCTGCTGCAAAATTCCTGGAAGTATCAGTCAGTATAATCCAGGGGAACCAGGAAGAGCAGGTCTGGTCACATTACAGAGGGTTCTCAGAGGTCACCTGCTAGCACGGCTGCAAGCCATCTTGCAGCCACTGTGAAGCGCATTGGGGATTGATGTGGATGGTAAGGACACTTCCAAGGGAGAAAGTAACTGGTTCAACTAAAAGATCAACTGTGGCAGCCACGTGAGGCGTGTTAAGAGTGGGCCCTGCTCCTATCTCACTCCCGCAGTCACCTAGCAATCCTACCTGCCCGGGCTTGTGGCAATTGGAACAGCTGCTCCTGTTAGGAAAACATTGGGGGCAGAATGCAGCCATTTCCCTACCTCCTCTCTGTTCCACTCCACCCCTTACCTTCCTACAGTGAACTGCAGGCATGAACAGCAACAGTGCCCTGGATGCGATGGATATTGATTTGGATATTAATTTGATGAGCTGCCAGAGAGTTGGTGGGGATCTTTGAGATCACTCATCACAACCCCTTTATGTTTACAGGTAAGCAAATCGGGGCCTTAAAAAATATTCTCCCCAGCATCATTCAGCTGGATAGAAACCAGAGCCTTAATTCTACAGCTCCCTGCTCCAGGTGCTGAAGCCAGTCCGTTTGGCTAAATCCCAGTTGCTCACAGTACCAGGGTAAAGTTACTTAACCTCTTTACACAACCAGGTCCTCCCACTGTGAAGAGATAAAGAACGGTGGTTCTTATTTCAAATGGTTGTCAAGAAGACTAAATGAGATAACTCTTTTGGGGGTCTGGCAGAAATCCGGGCACCTGGTACATATTCCATAAGCATTAGCTGTGATTGCTGTTGTCGTTTCTCTTCTGAAAAACATCCAACACTTCCGATCCTGCTAATGAACTGATATTTTTATTTCTGTTCTTAGTAATGGAAAAGAAAAGCATTTACCTTAAGGCTTTCAAATGGTTTGATTTATTCCCGGAGGTTAAATTCCACTCTTTCCTTGCCTATCACTGCCTCCCCTTTACCCCATGGGGAAAAATATATGCATATTTTTTTAATATAAAAAGATTTATATACACACATATATACATATGTATGCATTTAAAAATATTTCATATGTAAATATATTTTTATATATGTACATTAAGAGATATATTTTATGTATGCATATTTAAAATACATATTACATACATATTTTAAAATATAGATGAAATATAAACTATTTTAAAATATATATTTGTAAATACATACTATATATGACATATACATATATACATATAACATATATACACATATTTCTATATACATACAAGTATATAAATATACGTTTATATATTTATATATACATATTTATATATAAAAATATATTTACAAACACACATATATATGTGTGTGTCTATATATAGTATATAGTATGTACTACATATATATTATACTATATATATAGTACGTATATATAATATACTATATATACGTGTGTGTGTCTATATATGGTATATATCCACTATATATAGACTATATAGTATATATATACCATATATAGACACACACACGTATATATAGTATATTATATATACGTACTATATATATAGTATATATATAATATACTATATATAGACACACACATACTTATACACACACACACACACAAGAAATGTGACTATATGACGGAACAATCCAAGAAACCATTTTGATGCCTTCAAGTCTCTTCATTCTTACTAGAACCACACCCTTTTCTGTAAAATGTGTCCTTAGCAGCTCTTGTGGAGACAAGAGGGGAAAGTTGGAGGTGGAAAAGGGAGGCAAAGGGCTTTCATTGCAGGTTTGGTGGTTTTTTTCCCTTCTCTTTGCCTCAAGCCCTGATCCTACAGTAAGGAGCTCTGATAAGCGCCAATGCAAAACAAACTCCAGAAATGTTTCATCATGGTTTAGCCAAAGCAGATTACAGATGGGGGAGTGGCAGCATGATTTATAGTTCAAAACAGCAGTATCCAAAAATAAATGAATAAATACATAAATAAAACCAAACCCCAAAACCACGTACATCATTTGTCCTGACTTACTTACAGTGGTTTAGATGAACAGACTTGAGATTAGCATGCGATGCCTTCTGAGCGACTGGCCCGACCAGTAGGTTTGTTTTGCTTGGTATCTGCGGCAACAGAATAGGCATTTTTTTCCGGCAAATAATTTGGCAGGCCAAGCTATTAACTTTCAACCAGGGCATTATTTCTGCTCTGTCCACTCTAGTTGACTCAACAGACTGAAAACTGTCGTTATGTGGTCATTCTGTGTCAGTCCCACCTCTCTATGCCCCAGGATAAACTTTATGGTCACAAACAAGAAGACAGCACAAGGACTGTGGCTAATAACACATCATCTCAGCTCAAACATGAAAACCAAGGGCTGGGCTGTCCGGGGGGCCTTCGGATCAGTGCTGACATTTCGCTTCCCTCACAATGACTTAGTTCTCATTAATCTTCCACGAGCTCTGCCTCTACTGCAGATCAGTTCACAAAGCCTGAGGCGGTCAGTGGAGGGACAGGACTGGAACCTGAGTCTGATCTGCTCTCAAATCCTTGCAGTTCTTCATCACTCTCTACAGAATGAGTGGCTATTGAATCAAGGCAATCCTTTTCTTTATTTTATTTTATCATTATTATTATTATTTGAGATGGAGTTTCGCTCCTGTTGCCCAGGCTGGAGTGCAATGGTGTGATCTTGGCTCACGGCAACCTCCGCCTTTCCGGGTTCAAGCAATTCTCCTGCCTCAGCCTCCCAAGTAGCTCAGATTACAGGCACGTGTCACCACACCCAGCTAATTTTGTATTTTTAGTAGAGATGGGATTTCTCCATGTTGATCAGGCTGGTCTCGAACTCCCAACCTCAGGTGATCCGCCTGCGAGCTACTAAGCCGGGCCCCATTTTATTGCTTTACTAGATCAATATCTCTAGTACTTATAGAGATCAGACAAGTTAATGTCTATGAAAGGATTTGAAAACTGTGAAGACAATAGGCCAACCTAGCTTGCTTTGAATATAAGCAGAAAACAAACATTTAGTGAAACTGAAATAGAAATGGATTAATAGGGCCGGGCGCAGTGGCTCAAGCCTGTAATCCCAGCACTTTGGGAGGCCGAGGCAGGTGGATCACGAGGTCAAGAGATCGAGACCATCCTGGTCAACATGGTGAAACCCCGTGTCTACTAAAAATACAAAAAAAAAATTAGCTGGGCATGGTGGTGCGTGCCTGTAATCCCAGCTACTCAGGAGGCTGAGGCAGGAGAATTGCCTGAACCCAGGAGGCAGAGGTTGTGGTGAGCCGAGATCGCACCATTGCACTCCAGCCTGGGTAACATGAGTGAAACTCCGTCTCAAAAAAAAAAAAAAAAAAAGAAATGGATTAATAGATACATTATATATATATTCTGCACATTCTATTTAAAAAGGCATTTCTGAAATGTTTATTTAATATAGTGGGTTTTTTCATTGAGACACTGTTTTTAATAGCACAGAATACAGATAATAGATTGGGATAACAGTTTTGTAAGACTAGAGGTTAAGATTCTCTTGTGAAGCGGTGGCCTAGAAATTAATAAGAAAAGGTAAATAACCAAAGAGAAAAGCAAGCAGAGTATATGACAATCACAAAGCAGAAAAAGCAAATGGCCAGTGAACACACTTTTCACACTCGAGGTCAGGGAAATGCATATTAAAACAAAAATATGTAATGTGGTGAATTCCTATAGTTTTATGTTGCCTCAACATCCATTCTGAAGCTAAGTTGGACCTTCTCATACAGAAGCAGGGCTTAGACAACCCTTACTTAACACAGTTGCCAGTTCTCCACCTTATCCTGGTTCCTCAATGTGGTTAATCCAGACATCTGCCTTAAACAAGTGCTCAAAAGCAATGATAATCTTAACAATTAAAAAATGGATCTAATTTAACCTCCCTTTTGTATGCTTATCCTTTTCAACATTCTCTCTTCCACAAGAATGTAAGCTCCATGAAGACAAGGGCTTCATCTACTCTTTTTTTTTCCAGTTTTAGACAGTCTCACTTCCTCTGTTGCCCAGGCTGGCATACAACGGCTCAATCTTGGCTCACTGCAACCTTCGCCTCCTGGATTCAAGCAATTCTCCTGCCGCAGATTCCAGAGTAGCTGGGATTATAGATGCATACCATCATGTCCAGCTAATTTTCGTATTTTTAGTAATTTTCACCATGTTGGCCAGGCTGGTCTCAAACTTCTGACCTGAAGTAATCTACCTCCCTCAGCCTCCCAAAGTGCTGAGATTACAGGCATGAGCCACCGCGGCTGGCTAGCTTCATCTACTCTTTACCAGTGAAAATGGCAATGCAGAACGGAGGTACCCAACAGATATTTCTTGAATGAGGTCAATCAACTACAGAAGTTAGAAAAATGACAAATAAACCCACTTTTGGGTGAATCCATGAGGGGTGGTCATAGTGGTGGTGGGTTAAATCAAGGAATAAGTGTTTGCGAAGCACTAATTCTAAGGTGCACCTCCTATCACCACAAAGTTCAAAAACAATGACCTGGTGTTTGTTTTAAACACATTCAACAGGCCAGGTGTGGCGGCTCACGCCTGTAATCCCGGCACTTTGGGAGGCTGAGGCAGGCAGATCACCTGAGGTCAGGAGTTCAAGACCAGCCTGACCAACATGGTGAAATCCCATCTCTACTAAAAATACAAAAATTAACCGGCATAGTGGTGGGTGCCTATAATCCCAGTTACTTGGGAGGCTGTGGCAGGAGAGTCACTTGAACCAGGGAGGTGGAGGTTGCAGTGAGCCAAGATCGCACCATTGCATTCCAGCATGGGCAAAAACAATGAAATCTATCTCAAAAAAATAAAATAAAAAATAAACGCATTTAACAAACCATGGAATTCGAGCACCTTAATGGCCCATGAGCGCTTCTGCTCCTGGGGCTCTGGGCAGACTGCTCGGTGGCCTACCAGGAAGGAGGTTTCCCTAGCATCTCGTCAGTTTCCCAGGGTGACAGATTCTGCCTCCTTTGTGGCTGAGCTCCCTGAAGGTACAGAGCAGACGCCTTCCGTGGCTTCTCTGTCTGTTACACCACCTGCCCCCACCCAGGTGACCTTGCTCTTCCAGGGCCTTCTGCCTTTCTCTACTTCCCTAGCAATCCCATTGGGATAGAAAATTTCTTTCCCTTCTGGCATTAACTGCCCAGCTGTTAACACCAAATGGCCAAGCAAAGATAACAACAACAATAAAACCCACAAATGAATGCTTTATCTTTGACTATATTCTGTTAAATGTCCAGGAACAGCATAGGTAACTATTTGTTTTTCTGTGCAACTTTTCTCTGATTCCAAATGTCTCATCTGAGAAAAAAAAAAAGATTAGAAATTCCAAGAGACACTATTTGACAATCCAGCTGCTGCCAGAGACCTTTATCTAGAACATCCCATCCCCTCTGTCTTCCGAACACTTTCAAATAAATGGAAACAAGAGTCTTAACATAGAGATAGGCAGTGATTTCCTCCAACTTCTAATTTTAATAGCTCTATTAAATTCTGTACTCATTTTCCGTTTATTCAATCTGCTCTTATACTAGCTCCTTTCCCACAGAGCCAGCCATTTGCCTGAGTTTAGACAGTGTGTTAGGGCAGAGCGCTTGGATAGATCCCAAAAAGCAGATGTTTCTTCTGCTTTCCTAGAAATTAAATCTGGAACAAACTTGCCTCCAAGATACATCCTGTGTTTGTACCTAACTGGACACAATTTTTGCATTTGATTCTCCCACTGGGTAATGTGGTTTTAAGTTCACATTTTATATTTAGCCATCTATCCTTTTAGATGACATCCTTAAACTCTTCACTCTCTCTCTTCTCTCAAAAACAGGGGGAAAATCATTATAAATGGAATAGGCCCAGTCCTGGTCCACTTTGGTTGGGGTCCACTTTGGTTTGATATAGTAATCAAAGCTATAATATCAATCACAGCTGATATTATAGCTTTGATTACTACCCTTCAATGTGTTATAGCCTACAGAAATGAGTGGTTTCAAGTGTCATGTTTTTCCAGGTTATTGATCAGTGCTGTTCTGTGAAACATAAATATTTTGGGCACTGAGTTCATCCTGACGTGGAAAGGTGAGCAGGAACGGGGTGGGAGGTGCTTAGGGTGACCAACTGTCCCGGTTTGCTCAGGGCTGAGGGGTTTCCCAGAACATGGGATTTCAGTGCTAAAACTAGAGAAGTCTTTGGCAGACCAGGAAGAATTGGCCACTCTAGATAGCATCAGTCCTAACCATTCCCAGAAAGAGAATTACTACTGAAGGTACACTGATTAGGGATATTCAATAACCAATCAGTGTGAAAGAAAAAGAAACATTCAAATCATTATCTCAGGGGGTGTAGACGGGGAAGGTGTGCAAATCATCACCAAGTCTATAGTGTGGAAAATCTCTGCGTGATCCTTCTTCACATTTCCATGAACCGCTGAGGCATGGGACAAGTGATAAATATTCATGGGATGGCTTTACAGTGAACCCAAAAGAATGCATTTAAATTATACCAACTACACAGATGTTTTCCAGTGGATATAGGAAGGTTTTAGTAACAAATAATAATGAGAGAACCTAAAGAGATAATAATTTCTACTATAAGGCTGGATGCGGTGGCTCATACCTATAATCCCAGCACTTTGGAAGGCCAAGGTGGGCGGATCACCTGAGGTCAGGAGTTTCAAGACCAGCCTGGCCAACATGGCAAAACTCTGTCTCTACCAACAATACAAAAACTAGCCAGGCGTGGTGGCAGGCCCCTATCATCCCAGATACTCTGGAGGCTGAGGCAGGGAAAATCACTTGAACCTGGGAGGCAGAGGTTGCAGTGAGCCAAGATCGTGCCATTGCACTCCAGCCTGGGTAACAAGAGCGAGACTCCATCTCAAAAAAATAATAATAATAATAATTTCTACTATAGCATTACTAGTTTCTAACTCTCCACCCTCTATACCACGTGTCACTTGAGAGATCTTTCTGTATGAGATGGGATTAATTGAAACATATGGGATTGTAGGAATGGAATGCTCATTCTAAGCTTTATAAGAAATAGGCAGTGAGTCTAGAAAATGCAAACTCATTTTAAGAAGCAG